GCCTCCCCTCTCCCTTCCCCCTTCTCGGCCGCCCTTCAATTCTCGACGTCGCGCGTTGTTCCCGTCACGGGAGGAGGGGGGAGGGAGATAGTGCTGCGTAATAATAATAATATTCGACCGCCACCGAATGTGACAACTTTAACGTTACTCAAGTCGATTAATTTTTAATTTGAATTAGAAAAATGATCTCTTAAGGAGTTATTAAGGAGTTTATTAAGTTATTAAGGAATGATCCTTTGAGCATTCGATTCTTTACTGTGCACGAGAGTTCTTGTGACGAGATACGTAATAATAATAATATTCGAATATCATCGAATATGACAAGTTTAATGTTATTCAACTCGTTGTCGAGTCGACTGATGTTTAATTTGAATTAGAGAGGGGGGGAAAGGTGATCGCTTAAGAAGTTATCGAGGAGTTATTAAGTTATTAAAGAATGAAGTTGATTGCTTCGATTCTTTACTGTGCACGAGAGTGACGAGAGAGATGGCGCTGCGTAATAATAATATTCGAACGCCACCGAATGTGACAAGTTTAACGTTATTAACAACTTGTTATAACAACTTTAACGTTAATTTAATTTAAATTAGAAATAAACAAAGGGGTAAATGATGATCTCTTAAGGAGTTAATTAAATATTTCATGCGAATTTGTTATTTATATGTATAATTAAAATTAGAAGTTATTAAGAATGATCTTTTGACGAGAAAGGCGTATAATATTCAGACGCCACCGAATTTGACAACTTTAACGTTTATTGAAGTCGTTGTCGAGTCGATTGATGTTTAATTTGGGATAAAGTGATCTCTTAAGGAGTTATTAAGTTATTAAGGAATGTACCTTCGATTCTTTACCGTGTATTGTTCTTGCTACGAGAGAGACACTGATGCTACGGTAATAATATTCGGACATCACAGAAGGATTTATTTCGTAATAAGGCTTTGTTGGTCCTTATCTTTTCAATGTAACAGAAATCTGTTCAATTCTTCGTCGCATATTGTTCTTCTCAAAAGAGTAATATTCGTGTTAATATTTGAATATCATCAAGTGAAATATATTCCTTTGTCAGATGACGATCTCTTTTCATCCCTTAAGCAGCGAATTAGAATATTTCGTATAAATTTTACGATTAAGACTAGGAATCGTTAAAAAATGATAGTTCATGGATTAAAGAGTGAATTAAACTTTCAATGCTCGATGTAATAAAAATTGTAATACTTTTTTAGAAAAACAAAAAAAAAAAAAGAATTGTCAAGCGCATATATCGTTGACACAAGAAAAATTCACGTATTCCAATAAACTGTGTAAACGTTATCAAAACTTGCATCGTTATTAAATATTTACGTATCTGTTTACATTCAAATCTTTATTCGAAACTTACGCGTTCGAAAAAAATTGATTTTAAAAAAAAATCGATCAAACTAAATTCAATTCTTGTATTATAATTTATATTATATCGAAGAATCTTATCATATAATCAAGATTGCATCAAAGCTTTTCTAACCGAAATTTATCATTCGAAATTCAAAAAGCAAAAAATTTTTCTTTAAAACAACACGAAAACCAAGTCGAAAGTCTCGTCGAGGCCTGGCTCAAAGGGTTAAAAATTAAGAGGACAGAAAAGACTGGTCTGTCCAGGTGAAAGTTTACAACTTCCGCCTATTTCCAAACACTATTTCTATTCCCCGCCACGTTCGGCATAAATTGTACATTTTCCGTGAGAATGGAATAGCGAATCGATTAAACGTCTTCTCTCTTCCTTTCTCTTCCTTTAATCTTTTTAGCAACGCGAGCTATATTGGCATCGAAACCCTACTACGAGTCGCTCTCTTATATTCACCGCAACATTTCGAACATTTATATTTCCTTTTATCTTATTTTACTTTATTTTCGAGCATACTTTTCTTACTCTCGAATCGAATGAATACGATAATAATCATTTTTTTTTTTCTTTTTTTCAAATGTCTTCACTCAGACTCGTAATCCTTTTTCCTATTCCTTTTCATCGCTCAAACATTTTTCTTCTGTTTCACTCGGCTTGTATAATTTCTTAACACGTTGACTGCCGTATTTCTAACGAAATCTTCTTCAGGCCACGCGCTGTATCAAGTGTACTTCTATATATTTTAGTAATACGAGTCTGATGGTCGTAAAAATGATGTCTCGCATCATTTGTTTCCATTATTATTGTATTGATAATTGTATCGAGTGATATTGAATAATAGTACTGATTTAGTATATTTTAATTTGGATAATTTGAATTATAATTTGGATATGACTGTCGAATGCCCTTCGACTTTAGTTGTAACAAATGTACTTCTTAGTTGTGGATTGTATGTAAATTATTCGTGTGGCTTGTCTATTAGAGACCAGGGTCTCTCACAATGTCACAGCAAGTAATCAGAGCACGATGTATTCATAAACTATCTAATTGTCGTATCGTCATGAGATTGGTGATATTCTAAAATTAGAAGATTTAGAGAATTATTAGCTGCAAAATTATTGTTAGGATTATCAAAAGGAGTCAACATAATATCAATGTTCTGGTATAAGTATTAGATTGCAAATTATGTTATTCGGATAAAAGACAACAAATGGATCGATCAAACGCAAAGGAATTTAAAAAAGATAAATTTTTGTCCAAATTGTCCTGATCAATCTCAGCTTTGTATAGAATGTTTTAAAATTTTACGTTCAAAATAATTTCTTTAATAAATTATTTTTTTATTATTTGTATAACAATTTAATAATTTTATCACATCCTACAGTATATCTCTCCAAATATCTATGAAGATTCTTCATAAGTAATCAAATAAACGTCACTCAAATATGGATGACACAACTCAATGAGAACTTTTGCTGTCACGAAGCAATTTAAAAAAAACAACACCTTTTTGTCCAAATTGTCCTGATCAACCTCAGCTTTGTATAGAATGTTTTAAAATTTTACGTTCAAAATAATTTCTTCAATAAATTACTTTTTTATTATTTTTAGAATTTTATAATAATTTTATTTTTAACAATTTTAATAATTTTATATTTTTTTAATAATTTTATTTTTAACAATTTTAATAATTTTTAATAATTTTATAATATTTTTTTAATAATTTTATTTTTACAATTTTAATAATT